ACTATATAAGTATTATCTATTATTAATTTATTTATCTTATTATTAATTTTATGTAATATTAATTTATTATTTAAAGACGCTATATCTATTCTATAATTTTAATAACAATAAATACATGAATAAAGAATAAGTTTTAAACATAATCTCTTGTCTGCCTTTAATTTAGTTTTCTGTGTGAATTCTATTTCAATTAACATCACTTATATCTTGAATCTTCTGTGTGAATTTTCTTGATATAATATTATATCCTAACTTTTCTGTGTGAATTATCTGAATATATTATAATATATAACAAGAAGATTACAAAAAGTCAAGTCAAAAGTAAACAAATTATTTTAATTAAAACTTAAACTTTATTATAATTATAATTATTAAAAATATAAAATAGAAATAATATCTTTAAATATAAATTATAATTATATAAAATTAATAATAATTAATAATATATAAATAATTTTTTTTAGAAGAGACTTATTAATAAATAAATATAAAAATAAATAATTATAAATAATAAATATAAAAAGAATAATATATTAGATATATTAATAAAAAAGGAATAAAAAGAATTTTTACTAAGAATATTTTTATAACTAAAATAACTTATTATATATGATTTCTTTTAATAAAAATAAGTAATTATAATATAATAATTTATATATAATATAATATAATATAATATAATAATGATTTATAAACTAAATATTAATTTTATTATAATTTTTATATTAATTATAATAATAAATATCTTTTTTAATTTATTTATTTATTTATTATAAAAGAAATATTATTATATAATAATATTAAAAATATTAAAATATTATTTATAATTATAAATATAATAATATTTCTTATACTTATTTTTTTAAAAATTTATTATAATAAAATTTATTTTATAATTATATTTATAATAAAATTTATTTATAAGTATATTTATTTTAAAAATTATTAAGTATAATTATAAAAGAAATAATTATTTTTTAATTTATAAATTATTTTTAAACAAATTTATCTGAAAAATTTTTATAAATATTATTATTATCTAATTCTTATTTTATATAATAATAATAAAATTTTATATAATTATATTAATTTATTTTTATTAATAAATAAAAATTTTATTCATTCAATAAAATTTTATATAATTTTTAATTTAAATTAATTATTTTATTAAATTAAAATTGAATTTTACTAATTAAAAGTTCTATTCAAATAATAAAAAGTTTTATATTTAAAGATTTAATAATACAAAAATATATTTTTTAATTTGTATTTTAAATATAATTTCTAAAATTTTATTATTAAATAATAACTAAAATTCTTTTAATTTTGAAATATTATATGATAAAAAGCTTTTTCAGATCAATTTATCCGAAATATAAATTAAGAAATAATAATTAAAAGAAATTATAAATTAAAAAGATTATTATAATAATTATATTCAAATATAAATAATTTTAAAATATTTTATATAAAGTTTGATCAAAATTTCTAAGCTTAAATTTTAACTTATTTCAATATATTAATAATTTGGTTATATATTCAAAAATCATATATATTTAAAATTATTATAATTTCAAATATATAACTAGAATTTTGAAATTTATTCTCATTTTTTTAATATGAGTCTTCTTAAATGCAAACATGTATTTATTAAGTATGAGATTTCAAGAAATGTCAAATTTTCTTGAAATGTTATTTGTAAATCTCAAAAATTGCACTTCTTAACTCTCAAAAACTTCTTACACTTTATATAATGTAAACGAAATTGCATTTGATGCTAAATTAACGATGATCATTGTAGTAACTTTGTAAGCCTTGTATAAACTCTGCCTTTATCATAAATTATTCTATTTAAATAAATCTCTATAGTCTATAATGACGATCTTCGCAAAAAGAAATAGCTACAGTCACATTAGAACGTCTATATTCTAATACTCGACTGAATTAATTATCGCGTCGTAACATCGTATCATATCAGGTGTATAAAATGGTTCAAAAACTAATGGAAATGGCGTGCTTTATAGAAAAATTAAATGGAATTAAATTATTATAGATATTAGACAAAAATCACCATTAATCAAAGAATACATACTCCCAACCACAAACTCTTTGTATAGGTGATTCCAATCGAAGAAAACATTTTTCCATAACAGTAGCTGCAATTTCAGCACCAAACCCCGACGTTTTCGGCGCTTCATGAGCAACGACGAGTCTGCCGGTCTTATTCACGGATTCTACCACCAGATCTTCATCCCACGGTAATATGGTTCTCAAATCGATAAGTTCGCAGGATAGGCCGGGAATTTTTTTCTCAGCCATTTGAATCGCATTTTCAAGAATATAGATTTGTGACCCGTAGCCGACTACTGTGACGTCTTTTCCCGGTTTGAGAATCTCAGCTTTCCCTATCGGGAGCTCGTAATCAACGATTGGCACCCGCTCGACTATTTCGAGAACAATATTCATTATATAAGAAAAAAAGGGAATTTTCAATTTGAGCTTTATTTATTGCTCACCTGCTGCACGATATAAAATTTTCGGTTCAAAGAAAATAACAGGATTAGCATCTCGAATCGATGCTAATAAGAGTCCTTTTGCTTGAATCGGACTTCGAGGTATGACAATCTTTAAAGCGATCAGTTTAATAATGTTATTAATCAAAGTATAATACTCATTATCTCAGATGTAATTATAAAAACTCAAACAATCAATTTAAGAGTACCTTCAGACCCGGACAATGAGCAAAGAAAGCTTCAGGCGATTGTGAGTGATAATGTCCACCATGGCCGACGGCCGAACAGGGTGCTCTGACCGTTAATCCACCGACATTAAACTGACCTCCTGAGCGATACCTGTACTTAGCTGCTTCGTTGACAAGCTATTGATAAATAATCGAAATACAAAACATATTGGTAAATGAAGTCACTGTAAAGAATTAAATAAGTAAAAATTTAAGTGATTACAAACTTGGTCAAATGCAGGAAATATATAGTCTGCAAATTGTATTTCAGCTATAGCGGTATGCCCAACTGAGGCAATACCTATACCGAAACCAACAATACCTTGTTCTGTCAATGGCGTATTAAATACTCGATCTCGTCCTGATAGTATGAATAAACATGTAAATCTATTTGAAAAATAAATAATTTTTTTATTGATTGATAATCATTAAAATACCAAACATTTCAGCTAAGCCCAATGTACATCGAAATACACCGCCAAACGCGACATCCTCTCCAAAAATTACTAAAAATGATATAAATTTGGATTTATGTTCGGATATTTAACTAGTTGAAGGTCTGAACACATCGAAGATCCGCAAATGTTTCCTACTTGCTGTTTCGTCAGTAGCCAAGGCAATACTCATGGCATCGTTAATCGATTGAAATAAATTCATCTTTTTCGTTTCCCCTATTTCCAAAATTGATTCCAAAAATTCAGTTTAAGATCAATAAAAAAATACATGAATTGAAAGTAATGATTGCCAAAAGGCATACGAAGAGTAACGAATACCCAGAGACACGCCAGCCTTTGCTAACTCGGGATCCTTTATAGCCTCTTCGTGAGTGTGTTTTATCAACTTTGAGTTAGCAACACCAGGCATAAATCCTTCTGGTGGAGGTGGTGTGCCGGTTGCCTCTTGGCGGTTATATGTTGACGCATGGAAGTACTGGATCGATAATACATGAACACAGTAACAAACTCAAGATTTAGATAGTTTTGCTGGATACCTCATTCCATTTAATCAGAAAAAAATTAGATGCCTTATTCTTATTACGAATATTACAGTAAATAACTGGCTTAAGGAGTTTCGAAGAAAAAAAGGAGTTTCGATGAGACAGTAGAGAACGTCCAAAGTTCATTCTGCCAAAAATCGACAATAAAAAGTTCTAATCTTTAATTAATTTTAGTGATACAAAAGATCCCATCTAGTTAGTGTCCAGGTGGTGTTATAAACCAACGAATATCAAGATTGTGGAACCAATGATTCGAAGACATATAGAAAGTTCTTTTACCCTTACTCTTCTTTGTCGTAATTTCTCAAAAAAGCAAAGAACCAAACATCAGATGCATTATTCTAATGGTTCAGATATTTTGCGACCTGCGGCAACTATCATCATAGCAGCACCAATCAATAAAATTGATGGTGTAATAGAATATAACGATGAATTTAATTACAAAGTATTAACGATGAAAAGAAATGACAAGGGATCATTTGTCAACGCACATGTATTCCCAGGGGGGAATGTAGATTCATCTGATTCATCAAGAGAATGGTCTAATTTAATCTCAGGACACGAATTCACGAAAATAATTGATCACGAGCAATCATCATCAACATCATCCTTAACTTCCAAAATTTGTGCGATCCGAGAAACATTTGAAGAATGTGGAATTTTGCTCACCAAACCCAATTTTAAATTTGATCTTACAGATCACGATGAAGCGAAACAATGGCGTGACAAGATACATAATGATGCCAGCGAATTTATTTCATTGTGCAAAAAATTTAAACTAAAACCTGCAATTGAAGAACTTTATCTAATCTACAATTGGATCACACCAAGCACAAATCCCAAACGTTACAATGTCAACTTCTACCTGACTATTTTACCTGATGATATTTCTTATACCGACATTGTGGCTGATGGCAAAGAAGCAATTCAATTAAATTGGTTCACGCCGGAGGAAGCATTGACTGCGTTCCGCAAATCTGAGATTGATCTTTTCCCGCCACAATGGTACACATTTACCGAATTATTCAAATACAAAAAGTTATTTCAATTACGAATGATGTTGAATAATCAGAAGAGGCCTTTAGTCCCAATTTCGCCAGAATTCATGAGAGACAGCAA